TACAAATGTGACTAGGCCAAAGGATGTACACTGGTATAGATAGGAACTGGAAACACAGGGAATCCAGGGCGGATGATCCCTTCAGGACCAGTGGTAAGAGTGGCGATACCTGGAGGGTAGAGGAAAGGTTGGGTGGAAAGGGGGACCGATTATAGGGATCTACATATAACCTCCTCCATGGGTGGCAGACAACAGAAAAGTGGGTGAAGGGAGACGTCGGACAGTGTAAGACATGACAAAACAATAATAATTTATAAATTATCATGGGTTCATGAGGGAGCGGGGGAACGGGGAGGGAGGGGGAAAATGAGGAGCTAATACTAAGGGCTCAAGTAGAAAGGAAATGTTTAGAGAATGATGATGGCAACGAATGTACAAATGTGCTTGACACAATGGATGTATGTATGGATTGTGATAAGAGTTGTACAAGCCCCCAATAAGATGATTTTTAAAAGAATAATAATTTTAAAAAGCACACAATTGTAAAAAAAATTAAAACTAAGTTAAAAAGCCAATGAAATTCAACTTAACTTTATAAAGCAATAAAGATGCTATGTTTTAGAACATGTCCTGAAACAGGATGGGCAGTAATCTGTACAGGTATAGATAAAATTACTGCTTAAAAGAAGTCTATAGTCTAGTTGGGGAAACAATAAATATAACATGATCTGTGCGAGGCCATGAAAGATACTAAAATTAAAGTGTTTTTAATAGTCATCTATAGTATAGTAGTCTATTTTAAAAGAAATTTTAACTATTAATTTCATAAGAAATAAAGGCCTAGGGAAAAATAAAATAATCCAAAGCCTGATACTTCTCTTTTACCCTGTCAATGGTGATGAACAATTTTAAACTTGTTAAGAATCACCGTGGATTACCTCAGACAAGACAAATTCCCACAGTGACAAATGGAGATTTCAGGGGTGTGTTACCTAGGAGCTAATGACACGATTGCTTCCTCAGAGAGAGGTAGGAGAATTCATTATCTAGTCACTGTTCCTTTCTGAAACCATCCTGTTTTCTTTCACAGAAATCTAACGTGAATCATGACTTTATGTAGATGTGGTTAGACTCGAGTGAGTCTGACGTTCACTAGCTACACAGCTCAGAAGTAGATGGACAGGAAATAACAACAAATATGGGGGGGGGGCTTGAGACAAAAGTTTAGATGAGATAGCTAAATTCTAAGGCAACAAAGGCATCACTGGTAGAATTAGTAAAAAAGCAAAAAAAACCTCACTGCCACTGAGCCAATACTAACTCACAGCGACCCTATTAGACAGGGTAGAAGTGCTCCTGTGAGCTTTTGAGACAGTAACGCTTCACGAGAGCAGGAAAGCCCCTCAAGCCCTTCTTTGTCATCAATCCGACCCTGCGGTTGCAGCCCAACACCTAGCCATTACACCAACCAGGGCTCCTAAATAAAAGTAAAGTGAAGCCTAAATAAAAGTAAAGAAATCTTGCACTAAAAATCTAAGCTAATATATTTATAGAATTATAATGTACAGGTCTGCCCATATTCCTGTATTTAATATTCACAAGAATAGGAGTAATGTGTTATGGTATCTACTTTGCCCATATGAAATATTTATTATGTGTTATGTAGTGATATGCAGTAATTTGAAGTATTATAAAGTAATATGTAGTAATTTGCAGTATTACTCAACTAGAATTATGAATCATGCTTCCGACTAAGTCAGCATCTGTGTGTCACCTGGCCAGTGAGAGAATCTAGCCAACTGTATCAGAATTTGCACCTCAAGGTAGTTTTGCTAGTTTAACACGCATTTCATGGTAGAAAGCATATGCTAAAAAGATACTCCTAATTGTCTCACAGGAAAGATGTAGAAAACTCACTGCTATGGAGTCAATTCCTACTCATAGCAACCCTACAGTGATCTACTCTACTCTAGAAAATATATATTAAAAATAGAGCAGGGAAAGGTGCAATTGTATTATCCAAAGCTTAAATATAACATGAAACTATGGTTAGGGAAAAAAATGTTCTTAATGACATTCCACCAGGAATCATTAAGTCAGAGCTACCTAATATGTTCATTACTCCCACTGGCTGTTAAACAGAACATTCCTTTGGTATTAGTCAACAAGAAACATAATTGTGTATTAACTTGGTTAAGAAAAGAGGAAGGACAGAACAGGGAGATGCAAGACACATACAATTAGGGTAGAACATTAAAATTAAAATGCATTATGCGCTAAATTAAGGAAATTATAATTTCTAAATTGTAAAGCACTACCTCACTGCATACTTTAAGATTCTACTTAGCATAAAAAAACAACGAAGTTACAAAACAGAGTGTACAATGTTAATTTTTTTAAAGCAAACACATATACACATAATACATATAAGTATTGAAAAAATTACTAGAAGTCTGTTTAGTAAAACACTGATGGATGTAATGTATGGTATATAGGGTTTCAGAAGATTTTTTTTCTTTGTTCACCTAGATTTTTAAAGTTTCTATGCATATTGCTTTTTAGTAAAGAAAAAATGAACACATTTTAAAAATTATCTGAAGTTCATATAGTACTAGAAACCAAAATCCATATACATTACAGAAAAAAATATACTATTCCTGACTGTTTTATACCAAGTTCAGCTTTATTTATATCCGTCATCATTAGGGTAATTAAGCCATTATACTCTTTTGAGGCCAATCAATGGTAGTGGTTTAGAATAGTCACATGACAAAGTTCTGGCCATGGAGCTATAAACAAAGTTGTTGGTGAAGCATATTAACAGCCTGTGAAAAGGAACTCCACAGGCAAAGTAGTGGAATGGAAAACTGAGACCCTTAATCAAAGTTTGTCCAAGTCTCAAAGTGTTTGACAAACAAAAAACTACTTTAGGCCCATGGAGTGGGGCACTGGTAAGCAAGCACTCAGGCTTTTAGTTAGAACTCCTGAATAATTACACCTGAGCAATAAGGATGAACTGGAAATCGGCCAAATCCTTGGCTGGATTTAGATGATCTGCCATTGGGGTCTAACTGCCTGCCAAGAGCAAAAACGAATCTTCTCTGAAGGAATAAAAAATTTCATCCGGAGCCTCAAATTATCTCCAAAATATTCCAAATAAAATTGCAGTTTAAAAAATACTAAGCATAATAGAAAATAAGGCCAAATCCCACCACCATAACCCCCATTAAAAAGGAAACAATTACAAAAGAAGCAGACTTATTGGAGATCTGGAAAATTAAATAACTGACAGATCCAGATAATTAAATAACTGACAGAGGTTCATTGTTTCAATTTTTTGTTTGGCGGCTGAGAAAAAGGCAAACTCAGCGTATCAGAAAATCTACAGCAAAACCAAATGAGAAACTTAAAACTAAGTAATAAAAAAAGTATAAAGACCTTAATGGATGTACTGAACAGCAGATTACACAAAACTGAAAAGACGACTGGTAAAATGGGAGATGAATAAATAGAAAATACCCAAAATGCAACACAGAGAGACCAAAACACAAATATGAGACACTGTGAAGTGGTCG